CCCAAAGGCATCACGGGCCCTATCCATCTTCATAAGAGACTCCGGGCGCGTTCACATTCACGGGGAGAAAAGCACATGCCAAAAGAAACCCCATCCTTCCAGGACGAACCAGAACCCCCAGACGAGGACTCAGAAGACGATGAGTCCGACGCTGAACCATAACACCCATACGATGCCCACACCCAGACCCAATCCCCCGCGAGCGCAAGAGCGCCCGCCATGCCCCTAGCGTCGCCACGACGCACTCGACTCTGACCTCCAGTTCTCTGGCCCCTGCACACAACCCTACACATCTCTTATACAATACAGCTACACATCGGACACCCAAATTCACGTAATGGAAAGCCCGCACGACATAATTACATCTAAAAGGGAAGCCATACGCTTCCCGTGCGTCTTAGTACTAGACTACTTGTTGCACGTAAATCTCGAGATAATAAAAAAAAAAAAAAAAAAAAAAAAAAAAGTAACATATGCCATTAGACAACATTGTTTCTTCTTATTTGAAAGCATTCTGTCTCTGCCCCATGTATGGACCAGTGGATGCATTGCATACACACCATCAGATGGGCCTTTTTTGATCAAGGAGAATGACAGTAATATTTGGACTCCCTCTTTAAAGACAAAGTTATCCCAAGTACCTGATTTATTGAGAGGAAGTAGTCTCCGGTCCAGCAGAGAACTGGCAAGTGGTAACTTTGAGCCAGAACTTTTCTTGTCTTCTTGAAGGGCAGCATAAAAAAAGATGTCTTCAGTAATCCCCTCATGATGGAAGAAAGGGAATAATTTCAGAAGGAGTATTGCACTATTGGCTGCTTTGGCCTTATGAAAATCATCAGATTTAGCCCTTCTCTGAATTTCTTTGTATGATAACTCCCAAGTTTCATAAACAGTTTTGTTATACTTAGTAGCTCCAGTAAAATCTGAATGAAATAATAGTGTCTTCCGGTGCTCTGAATATTTTGCAAGATAGTCTCTGATAGTGGTTGCTCCAGAAGCAATGTAAGCACCAGCCTGATCAATTGCAAGAGGAAGACAGAAGAGCTCTTTCACAATCTTAGAAGCTTCAGATTGAAACTCAATTGAAGATGAATTCAAGCAACTAGCTTTTAGAAGTAATTCAAGAGCATCATTCCCTTCCATCTCAGTTATTTCAAGAGAATTCTCAGGTGAAGTTAGCCTCCTCATGGCAGAATTGCGACTAGTTATCAGAATATTTCCACCCCTTCCAGGTGGAAGATAAGCTTCCAGCTCAGCAGGTGATAGAACATCAGCATTGTCAAACACCATTGCATAGTTCTCTTTCAGCAAGCCAATCCAGCGAAGA